AGGGACCAGAGCTCTCACTGTTCCAGAAAGTACGGCCAGAGCTTAGAGCTACTGACTGTTGGGGATCGTCTGGTGAGGGCACAGCTGCTGGACCAGCAAATCCACCTGTGTCTTCTCTTCTGTCCATGGGCTGAGTTTAGGTCACGGGACAGTGGACAGTGACCGTGAGAGGGAGGAACTGGCCCATGGGAAGGTCCTCAGCATCAACAGCAGGGAAATAGGCAGCTCAGTGTACCTTGCCCAAGGTCCTCACAGGGCTGCCAAGGTCATTCCTCCAGAGGAAATTCGGGTGCTTTTAGGAAATGGCAGTGGACGGTAAGCCACAAAAAAAGAGGCAGAAAGCGCACCAGCCAGGACGCGAGAGGACTTGGGGTATTCAGGCCTCGACGTGAGTTCTGAGTAGACACATCTTAGCTGGGATTTACTGGCTCAGAGTTTAAGAGCCAGCTCCATCTCTCCTCTCCCATTCTTTATGACACCCTAAGTGTTAAAAGTATTGAGAAAGGAACCAGTTTTATGGCAATTCTAGACTCACCCCCAAATGTTTCCAGAAAACAACATCAGCATGGCTTCCGAGACTGATAAGTTCTTCTGTTTACTTCTCGGTCAGCACGGCTTGGCATGACCTTGGAAACAGTGGAAATGGCACTTTTGGAAGGGATTGCTAGCGTCCCCAAGGCACCAGGCACTTGGAGGAGACTTCTGGTTTTATTTTTATTTTTATTTACTTTTTAGATATTTAAATGCTATATTTATTTGTGTGTGTGTTTTAAATCGTCATCTCTTGTATTTAATTCACTCCAATCTGAGGGAAATTGGGAACTCTGGATCAGAAATACCCTTTCAGCTACAGGAAGAGCCAGCAAAAAAAATATTTCCCTGCTCTAGGGCAGAGGGTCTCAGTGTGGGTTCCAAACCAGCGTGGCCAGAGAACTTGTTAGCAATGCACATTCTCAGACCCCACCCCACATTTATGGAACCAGAAACTCTTGGGTGGGGCCCAGCCATGCGTTCAGGGCAAAGCCGTCCAGGTCATTCTGAGGCACTGCCCTAGGGAAGGGGATTCATTGCTTCTGTGAGAAGTGCTCCCCAAAATATTGAACAGGACTTTTCAATTAGTAGCTCTGTAGAAATCTTTCCAAACCTGTAGAGTTAACATAGGCAATCTAAGGGTCCATGAAAAATAAGTTGATGTTTGATAGAATGCTCAAAAATAATTATGTTAAAAAAAGGATATTTTTGCTCTTTAACTGACATGGTTACAACCTGTGATCTTTAACAAATTCTATTATTCCCTCATGTCTCTTCCTTTTGTAAAATAACATCCCCTGTTACCACTACCATTTCAGAGCAGTTCTGGCAATTGCAAACAAATTTGCATTCGTTGTCAAAATCCTGATTTTTTTTTTTTTTTATCACCTGGCTTTTTGGTTTTGGGAGTGTGTGTGTGTGTGTGTGTGTGTGTGTGTGTGTGGCTGCACTACATGCCTTACAGATGTTGAGTTAGTTTCATTTATTTTAAAATAAAAGTACTCATACAGACATAGGCAATTAAGAAAAAAATTTAAGAATAGATTACAATAATAAATTTTAGTTGTTTACTTTTTCTGAATAGTGAGATAACAGTTCAGAAAGGAGAGATTGTCAGGGAAGTGGGAGGTGCTAGCTGACACCTTTAATCATTATAAACGTGAGTCATCAGAACAAAAGGGAAAATCATAATCAAATTTTACATTGTAATAATACCCTTCATAGTGAGAATTAACTGAGAAGGCCAGGCACACACAAAATGTTTAGTTTTTATCATCTCAGATGCAAACCTAAAAGTTCCCTCCTAATTGCCTAAGTTAGCCATAGAAGACTTGTTAGTTAAGGAATGAATGATTTTATTCTGAGACGTTTATCTCCTAATAGTGGCAGCAGGCATCTCTGAGCTGCCCATTCTAGATAATAAAAGGGTAATATGCAAATTGGCCGAACAATGGAATGACAGGAACACCTGTGGCCCCTCACCCCAGCCAGCCCACTACTGATGGCCTCCATTGGGGCAGGTTGGCTGGACCCCACCAGTGCACGAATTTATGCACCAGGCCTCTAGTGTTAAATATTTCCATGCCAAACCCCTCTGTGACTTGTAAATTATATTTAATAGCATTTTTCTCTGGGTTCATTCCCTGCTAAGAAACAAAAATCTTAAAATGGCTTATTTTTTCCAAATCGAGTATATGTACACACATGCCAATTGTATAAACGTGTGTTTGGTGTGTTAGTAAGTCAAATTTTGTGTAAACAAATTCCAAAAGCTACAGCTAAAGAAGTTGTAGATTAAACATGAGACTTTAGCACAGAAAATGTCACATGTGTTTTATGGGGGCCAATAAATTCAAGATTTAACTACAGATTTTTAATAAACTTTTTGAGATTTCTCCAGAAATTTTGAAAATAAGGGCACATTCGTAGATTACCACAGGCTACCCAATATTTACCATTTTGCCTTTTTTTCTTCCCTTAAGTTCAAGGGAACTTTTATGAAAAAGTGGATCATAACAGGATTTTACCATTTAGCGGTGTTTTTTATAGTGTGTGTATGTGTGTGTGGGGGGGCGGGGGGGGAGTGTTCTCATTTTTTTCCAGTAGGACATTTTCAGTATTTTCAAAGAAGGAAACTGACTTATCAGCCCCTAACAGGAGGTACATTGCTATAATTTGCCAAGTCTTTTGTGTAGTCAGACTGGTCTAGTGTACAGGATTTTCCCAACTTATGCTGGATCCTTGAGAAAGCCTATAAATAAGACCATTTGTTTGGTCTCAAGATGACTTGCATTTGCAAACTGAGGAATGTTCCAATAGAAGTTTCATGGTGACGCACCAGCCTGGAAACTGGCTCAGGCAGTAGTCAAAACAAGTCACTACCGATCTGGGAAGCTGAAGTCTTTGAATGGGTCAGATTACCCTCCGTCTAATTTGGCACAGATAAATTTGAGCTATAGATATGCAGCGTCCCTTGTATTTTCAACTTAAATGGTCCAAACCAAACAGGGAAAATGTGTGCGGCCCTAATGCCAATTTAGAAACATGGGAATACCGTGATTAAACTGAAATTCACTTATTTGTGCTAAGGTCTGTTGTATTAAAATGAGCAATAGTTTGCTAAGATTGAAAAACATCGTATGTGGCTTGTTTGGTTGTTGTTTTTTAGCTTTATTAAGATACTGACAAATATATGTAGGTGTACGATGTTATGATTTGATACACAGATATATTGTAAAATGATTATTACAGTAAGGTTAGTTAACACCTACATCCCCTTACATAATTACCATTGTTTTGTGTGTGGTGAGAACATTTAGTATCTATTCTCTTATCAACTTTGAAGTATATAATAAGTACTAGAGGCCCGATGCACGGAATTCGTGCAAGAGTAGGCCCTTGCAGCCCCTGCTTTGCCCGGAATGTCAACTGGAATGTCATCCGGACGGTCTTTCCACTGTTCGGTCATTCGATCAATTTGCATATTATGCTTTTATTATTATAGATTATTCACTAGAGTCCCCCTGCTCTGCTTTAGCTAGAAGTTTGTACCCTTTGGTCAACACCACCTCATTTCCCCCACCCTTCAGGCCCCAGCAACGACCATTCCACTCTCTATTTCTATGAGTTAGACTTCTTTAGATTCCATATGTGAGAACATACAATATTTGCCTTTATCTGACTGACATTTCACTTAGCATCATGCCCTCAAGGTCCATTCATATTGTTGCAAAGGGCAGGATTTTCTTATTTTTTTATGGCTGAATATTTCATCACACATAATAGCTTACATTTCCTTTATCCTTTGTTTTATATGTATATCTTTTATACGTTTAATATGTTATATGCATATGAAATATATATGAAAATATATGTGAAATATATATCCATTTACCTGTCAGTGGGCACTTGGATTATTTCCACATCCTGGCTATTGTCAATAATGCTACTATGAATATGGGGGTGCAGATGCATTTTCAAGATTTCCTTTCCTTCAGATATACCCAGAACTGGGATTGCTGGATCATTTGGTAGTTCTATTTTAAATTTTTTGAGGTTCCTCTATACCAGTGGTTCTCAACCTGTGGGTCACGACCCCTTTGGGGGTCAAACGACCCTTTCACAGGGGTCACCTAAGACCATCAGAAAACACATATATAATTACATATTGTTTTTGTGATGAATCACTATGCTTTAATTATTTCCGATTTGTAACAATGAAATTGAGGGTCACCACAACATGAGGAACTGTATTAAAGGGTGGTGGCATTAGGAAGGTTGAGAACCGCTGCTCTGCACTATTTCCCACAGTGGCTGCACCAAATGACATTCCCATCAACAGTACACAGGTATTCCCTCTTCTCCATCATCTCACCAACACTTGTTATACTTGACCTTCTGATAATAGCCACTCTAACAGGTGCAAGATGATATTTCATTGTGAATCTGATTTGCATTTCCCTGATGATTAATGATGTTGAGCATCTTCTCAGCATCTACCTGTTAGTCATTTGTATGTCTTCTTTGGAAAAACATCTATTCAAGTTGTCTTCCCAATTTTTAATCAAATTATTTGGGTTTTTTTGTTTGTTTGTTTTGCTAATGCTAGTTCTAAATTTTCAAGAGAATTGTATTACAAAACTTTCCTAATTTAAAAAATGTTGGCAAATAGTTAAAAATTTTAAGAAACTATGAGACACACAGACCTAAAAGTTGAACCTCCAAGCCACTAGTTTGTACATTTTACCATTTCACAATAAATGAGCGACAATTTTGCAAATGTCTCCAAATGATAACCCCAAACACCGCATCCCCTTTAGTAACCAGCTCTGAGAAGCAGGACTTCTCCTAAGGCTACATCTGTCACTGCCATTGTTCTTCTGAGAGAGACAGTTTCCTCCTGTTAGAGGTTTGATTTGATGGTGTCGGCACACGAGGTTCCTGTCACTTCATGCCATGTCTTCCTTCAGGCCCGATGGGATCGGAACTGTGACTGTGGAAGAAAAGGAACGTTTTGAAGAAATCAAAGAGAGACTCCGAGTTCTGTTGGAAAATCAGATTACACATTTTAGGTAAGGATCTGGGGTAGAGGGGCTCCTTAGGAGGGGAAGTCTAGGGGGGTTTGATTTACTGAAATGGCAAGTCAATCAGATACACATTGGATATTTAGAAATAACCGAATGAAAAAGCAAACCGATAAGACTGGGTTCCACAATAGCTCGAAACTTTGAAATCTTAAGGTCATTTTATTTCCACCAAAGGAACAGCCCCTTCTTGTATAAGTTGACCCTGGTCATGAACCTAGTTTTTGTTTAATCCATTAAAAAGTTGTATTGGGCCCTGACCAGTTTGGCTCAGTGGATAGAGCGTCAGCCTGTGGACTCAAGGGTCCCAGGTTCGATTCTGGTCAAGGGCATGTACCTTGGTTGTGGGCACATCCCCAGTAGGGAGTGTGCAGGAGGCAGCTGATCGATGTTTCTCTCTCATCGATGTTTCTAACTCTCTATCCCACTCCCTTCCTCTCTGTAAAAAATCAATAAAATATGTTTTTTGCAAACAGCATGGATGGAACTGGAGAGCATTATGCTAAAATATATATTTTTTAAAAAGTTGTATTGGAAGCTTCTTCAGGTTTTCTAAATAAAGCACTGAAAGGCCTTGTGAACCACATCATGTGATCAGGGAAGGAAGGCAGTGGCACCCACAGGAGAAGGCACCTTCCCCTCAGAGACAGGGCCAGCTGCTCCTCAGGGAAGGAAAGCTGATGGGCCTTGCAGGTTGGCTCTTCTCCACACCCTGGAGCCAGCAGGAGCGGCTGCCTCGAGCCTTGTGCCGTGTGGCCCACTTCTCCTTGGGACAAATCCGTCACTCTAACGCTGCACTTGTGGCTCCGGACCCGAAGCCTGAACCAGTAACTCAAAAATAAGAAGCACATTTATAATGGCATAATAAATACATCCTTGTTATCAGGCCCTTCCAGATGCAGGGGCTAGATAAGCATCTCATTATTTTTTTATTCTCAGAACAATTTTGTAAGGAAGTTATTGCGGTCCCCATTTAAACAACAAGTGACTGAGGCTGAGAGAGGTTCAAGACTTGCCCCAGGCCAGTCTGAGTGTAAGCAGCCCATGCTGGTCCCTTTGTACCATGAGGAACAGTGTCCCAAAGGGCTGGTGACAGCTTAAAACAGTCAGTGGAATTCCTAGTGATATCTAACACAGACCCCCCCCCCCAGATATATCTTTATTGATCATTCACTACATGCAAGATGCATTGCCAATAATGGAGAATCCATTGACTATTAAAAACCACAAGCAAGGAAGGACAATGTGCAGAATCATGAATTTGTTTAAAAGACCTTCCTTCATTTTCCATATGAATCCTTTAGGGATTAATCTTACCCTCTTTCAACTAATATTTTTATAATGCTGGTCTCTAGAATAATATTTAAGGTCTCCTTTGAGCTAACAAATGGTTCTCTTCACAATAGAAATCTACACAGAGCCTTGTCATCACCCTAAATATTCTTGTCTGCTGCAGACGTCTGCAGAGTCTCTCTTCAGTCATCATTCACACATACACATATATACATTATATACACACATAGATGGTGTGAATTCAGATTAACATAACACAACGTGACAAAATAGAAAGCACTTTCTGTTCCTCACAGAACGTCTATAGGAATCAAATTTCAGTATACTTCATGCTAAAGTGTAACAAATCGGGCAACCTGAAGAATTTTCTCTTTTTTAGGTACTGCTTTCCATTTGGTCGACCCGAAGGTGCTTTGAAAGCTACTCTCTCACTCCTGGAAAGGGTAAGAATGAAAGTCAAAGACAGATTCCACAAATATAGAAACATGAACAAAATTGTAATGGAATATTGTGGTTGAATGACCTAGACTGTAATTTTGAGGTATTGTTTACCATTCATCAAATATCAAAATAAGCCAAAACCGGTTTGGCTCAGTGGATAGAGTGTCAGCCTGCGGACTGAAAGGTCCCAGGTTCAATTCCGGTCAAGGGCATGTACCTGGGTTGCGGGCACATCCCCAGTAGGAGGTGTGCAGGAGGCAGCAGCTGATCGATGTTTCTCTCTCATCGATGTTTCTAACTCTCCAACCCACTCCCTTCCTCTCCCTTCCTCTCTGTAAAAAATCAATAAAATATGTTTAAAAAAATATATCAAAATAAGCATGAAGAAACTGCCCAAAATCTAGGTGTTTTCTCTCCAGACAACAAATAGTTGGACCTATTGAAGATATGTTCCTAGACCTTTCCTGGTTCGTGGGCAGGCTTTGCCATTCTAACTGCATTTGAACTCTCTAAGAAATGTAAATGAGTAAGGCAGCTAATTGAACCATCTGAATAACCTTTCCTTCCCTGCCTTAAGGTTTTGATGAAAGACATCGTTACCCCAGTGCCACAAGAGGAGGTAAAAGCAGTCATCCGTAAATGTCTAAAGCAGGCTGCTTTAGTCAACTATTCCCGGCTATCAGAGTATGCCAAAATCGAAGGTAAGGTTCCCTTCTGCCCCCAGGTTTTAATTTAAAACGTCATATGCCTCCCTGGGGAAGTCTCTCTCTCTTCTGATGGGCACCAGGAAACAGGGGTCCAGCTGAGTATGTTAAGCTGAAAGTTGAAAGCACTCAAAATATGAAAATGTGAACTCTTCCTTGGGTGTGGCCAAATAAATGAATGGAAGGTCAGAGGCTCAGACATCAGTCTTTGTAGGGGAAGAATATTAAACGTGGGATGTTATCCGGTCACTGAGGCCCCTCTGAGAGTCTGTGTCAGCCCTAAGTGGCTGATGTCTTCCAATGAAAGAGTTCTGTGGGATAACTACCTGCTTTAAATAGAGGAAAACAAAGCAGTTTGCTGTCCACTGTTGATGGCATTGCAAGTAAAACAATAACTGAGTAAAGCAACATCAAGATTTTGCTGAACTCTTTCTTGTCCCTTGAACTTACGAAGAGCTGTCTTTGGTAGCATTTCAAACTTGACGGCAAATTAATGTCCAGCCCTCTCTGACGGCTCCTAGTTTGCTTTTGATTTCATTTGTTATTGCTACATTATTGGCTAATGTAGGATGGTCATCACCGCTGCCCTCTCAAGTTTTAGGGAAGCAGTCACTGATGACCAAGTAATTACCCCAAAGTCACCTTGAGTAAACTCTACTTGAAAAGATATGGTTCTTTGGGACCTATTCATTTGCAGTTTATTAATCACTTTTCATTGTTACCCTGTTGGCTGCTATAGGGTGATTTGAAAACCACACCCAACTTGACCAGTGGTGTAAGTGTATAAATGTGGAAGTTCTGTGTGCAAAACTCAATGTGTTCGCATTCTGGAATCTGATGTTCTCTCACATGTGAAATGCCAGCAAATACCCATTGTTTGCCTTCAGGACATGACTGGGGGGAAAAAAAAAAAGACCTAACCAACTACCAGAACCCATCAGTTACCTGCCAAAGTCCTTATTTCCCTAGAGAATTAGGCTAAGATCATGTCAAATTCACAGTGTTCTGTACATTACATGTCTCCCTCTCTCAATTTTGTCTGTCTGACAATGCAAATTGTGTACCAGTGGTAATGAATTCATTGTTATGCATCCAGGGAGAAACACTTAAGAATTGGGCACTAAAAGGATGTTTATCAACTCTTGACTTGGTAATGAGTGACAAAAATAGAGAAACAAGAAGATTGGTAAAAGAGCTATATTAGAAAATAATTGTTCCAGCATTTACCTTCCCAGGACTCAATGATTGGTTGTATTTGGTAATGCCAACCGGGCACCTAATAATTCTAGGTGAGGCCAGAGATGGGATGGAATCAAGAAACGTTCGGTTGCCATGGCTGCTGCCTCCTAGGTCTTGGTCTAGCTATTACTAGTCTTGGTAAGATCTGCTCTCTTCTTTCAGATAAATATATCCAAAAACAAACTTTAAGATCTGTAAGTAAAAATGCATTCATTTCCAAAGTAGATCAGCTGGTCTGTAATTTCCTTTTGTGCCTCAATTCTTCTTGGTTGTGTTAATTATCTTTTGCACTGTGACTTTTAGGTCTGGGGATTCTTTGAAGAAACCAATCTTTTTTTTCCAACTCTCTTTTCAGAGAAGTACCTCATTCCACACTACCTGCTCTCTTTGCTTCTCTCCTTCCTTGTTCGCGATTGGCTCAGCCACTTTTTGACATTATCTCTGCAAAAGTGGCTGTGACGCCAATTTCAAAGCATGCTGGGATTGTTAATTCAGACAACCCAACATCCTCTGGCTGCATGTATCAGGTTTTCTTTCATGAACATAGTCCACCATAGGCTGAGACATTGCAGCTGTAAAGATATTACTACCAAACAACTTTCTTTTACAAGGTTCCAATCCTACACTCAGAAAAGAAACCGTCCATTTTTACATTTGAGCCCCTCTGTGAGCACTGACAGCTTAGTTTCCAGAGAATTTTGGAAAGAAGTTGTAGTAATATTTGCTGGAGACTATGTTTATGAAGAAATACCTCAAGAGCCTTAGATACTAAAGTCTGAAATCCTTAGTATCTTGGAGCCTTAAATCAATGAAATTCTGTTTCCCTTGACTCATGATGTTTTTGGTCATTGTATTCTTGCAAACAATTCTAAAGAGACGTGTAAAATCATGGTCACAATCTCTCTCGTGACTCACGGCATGCTGAATGGTTAATCCAGTAGATCTCCGATTTTGAAACTCCTTTTTCCTTTATCCTGTGTTTATCCCAAAATACTCTGTGGCTATTTTCCTTTGAGCTAATGTAACGTTTTCCTCTAACCTATGACCTTTAACCTCTTTACCTCTGACCTAAGCCTCTTGCATGCCCAAATCCTCTTTTATAGGGAAAAAGAGAGAAATGTATGAGCATCCTGTCTTCTGCTTGGCCTCCCAAGTGATGGATTTAACCATTCGTGAGTACCTACCACTCCTCGCCATGCTGTCTTCACTCTTTCTGTTTTCATTATTTCAAGAAAATACAGATCCAATCAACTCACTCTCCTTGCTTCAAGTTGTTTAGCATTGGCTTGTCTGTTGATTCTGTCTGTGAAATCCAGTGTGAGAAGTCCAGTCACTTTTTATCAACCTAAAACAGGTTAGACAATTAAGCCATTTGTTTGTGATAAACTCAGATTTGTCCATAAGTTTTTCAGTTATTCTCTGTCTGTGACCTGAATGCATTTTTACTTTGCTTGTGTGTAACCCCAATTTGTAAAGTGCTTGTCACTGGTACACAATAAAAAGGTAGCATCTAGGCCGGGAGCAATACGTTAGGTGTCAGATAAAGGACAGCTGGGGCAAAATCAGGCCTTCTTTTCCATGTTTAACATGTCAAACTATTGTGGGTATAAGATCACATGAGGTGGTCCATTCTCTGTAAAAATGAGATCTTACATGCCTCCTGTCTCTTTTCTCTCAAGCTGAAAAGCTTCTCCTTGTTCTCTCTGGAGATTTTGACTTGTCCTTGTCCTCTAAGCTTTGGCTAGAACATATGACTTAATTGTCACTTGGAAAGTTCATGTATGTTTCATAGCTTGATTTCACATTAAACTTAATTTTACTAATTTTCTATTTGTGCAGCATTTTTCACCTCTGTGAAGGAGCCTTTTTTTGCTGGCCCCCACACTTCGGGGCGGTGGGAACCCAAGGGCGACCTTTTCTTCCAATGTCATATATCACACATAAGTGGGGGGCATTGTGGTCCACTTGCTCATTAATCCTGCATATGTGTTCTTGTTTCTCTCTCTCTTTTCTCCTCGTTGTGCTCTCTCTTTCAAATAGAGAATCAAAAGGACGCAGGTGAACCAATTGTATATGCATTATAAACTATCAGGATTGTTGAGTTATATTTAGTTTCTTTTTTTTTTTTAACGGCTCCTTAATGTATGTACTCCCAAAGACTGGTGTGGAGTTGCAATGATACTTAAGGAGTTAATTTGTGCTGTCTAAATACCCCTCATGCCCATTAGATGCTAACCTTTATAGAGTAGAATTTCCATAAAGGCATAAGCTTTGGAGGAACAGAATTCTAGTTTGGACAGAACTTTTCATCCTTGGTTTCCGGATTCCAGGGATTTGGCCTCGTGTGCTTTTTAAAAATAGTTACTGAACCCAATGAATCTTCCCTTTTGTTTTTCATTTCTCTTTTCTGTTTCCTACCCTACTGAGAAGTTTGTGTTCTCTGATGGATGTCTATCAGCCAAGACGGAGAGAAGTTGTCTTTGTGCTGTTCTGTTTATTGTGTGGTGAAGCAGGGCGCTAGCACCGGGCAGAAGCTTCGTCAGAGGAAAGCTCTTAGAAAGTTCTCTGACTTTGGATGTGTTCTTCTTGTTTAGTCCAAAAACTTGTAAGCATTTTGTAAGGAAAGCTCTAAGTGAAAATATAGTATTAACTTTCGTTTTTAAGGTTAAAGGATTCTTAAAAGATTATTATTGTTTCATTGAAGTTAAACCTATTTCATTTAATCCAAGATGGACATATTTTAGATCAACTCAGAAAGCATTTTTGAGCACGTGCCAAGCACCAGACTGACAATAAGTATTTGAAGACTCATGAACCTATGTTCAAGACACATGTGCCTTTCTCTCCCGAGAAGGGAAGGTATTCATTCACTCATTCACTCTGTCATTCATTCAACAAGTTTTTAGTGGGGCCCACCATGTGCCAGGTGCGGTAGTGCAATCCAGGGACTATGTAAACAACAGGGAACAGCTGATAACCTATGAAGACTGTGTGCAAATGGGTTCCTAGTGTCACTTACAAATTAAGTATGCAGCTGCACCAATGTGTTATGCATAAGAGGTCACTGTCAGATGCCTTGGAAATCTTCCCAAGGTTGGAAGGATTGAACTGCATCTTGAAAGATGAATTAGAATCAGTGAAAGGGAACTGGGATTGGGTAGTGGAGAGGCATCCTAGACAGAGCAATATGTGCAAATACGTAAAACCATATAGCTAATAAAAATAGCTAATGCTTATTCAGTGTGCGTTATGTAGCAGGTATGACTATTAAGTGCTTTATATGTATTAAGCTCATTTAATCTTCAAAACCCCTTATGAGGTGAATACAACTATTATTCCCATTTTAGAGAAGAGCAAACCGAGATGCAGAGAGGTCAAATAACACACTTCTAGTAGAATAAGGGTAGAGACAGAATCTGAGTCCAGGCAGAGGCCATAGTCTTAACTACTCTGTAATTCAATGTGGTTGCAATGAAATGAAATGATGGTAGTAAAGGGTGCTGATGATGGCAATGTAGACAGGAGGCAAGATCTCAAAAGCCTTGATATGCCCTAATAATAGAGTTCAGATTATATCTCATGGTCCAAAGTTTTTAGCCTGGAATCTATGCCCACTTTTTTTTTCTATGCCAACTTTTGAAGGCATATAGATTTTCCAAAGGAAAAATTCCACACATCTCACATCCAAAGGTGATAGAGAGCCATTAAAGACTCTTTAAGCAAGAGGGTGGCTTGGTGATTGGCACTCCAGGACAATCATACTGGCTTTGATGGGGAGAAAGGACTAAGAAGGGGGACTTGAGTAAAACTGGGCCTAAAAGTTAAGGTCAAAGCAGAGATGGGTTTGAAGCTTGGTATGGCTGAGGCTTCCAAGCAAAACAAACCTCAATCACAATCATAATGACTTCTTTCCAGATCTTTTCATCTTTCTTCTTACCCTCTCTCTCCTTTTTCAATTCCCTCAGAGGGATCTAAGCACAAATATATGGATGGGTATTCAAAACCAACTGTATGGAGGTAGCAGGGCGTGGCTGGAGTACACGCCCTAATTGGGTGGAGTGTGGACAGCTAGGAGCCCTTTGCTCAGGCTGTGCTTAGAGAGGCTATGGGATTCGGCAGATGGCATTTTGGTGGACTTGTGCTTTCTGTCTGGTGGCATTATTAAAAATTAAATATTCAGTTTAATTACAGTATCTCAAAAAAGTAAAAGGCTGCTACTCTATGGAAAAAAAGTTGTGACTCCTGCACATAAATTTATTATTTTAAATATATTTCCACTTAAGTCATCACATGTTCTGAACTCAGCAAGCTCTATGGATATACTACTATTGCTGTTTTGCCTCAATTCTTGATTAAATAATTGTATAATTTTATGAGCATCATAAAAATTCTATTGAAACTTAAAATAAAAAACTTTTTCTTCAACTATACCAAAGATTTGCAAAATTAAATTAAAAGATAGGTAGATAGATAAGCAGATGTAGATAGATATATACAAGCAATTGAGCGGCCTTAGCATATCATAGCATATTAACTTTGATTGGTTGAATGGACGACTGGACGACCAGACACTTAGCATATTAGGCTCTTATTATATAAAAATAGATGATAGATAGAAGATAGATAGATAGATAGATAGATAGATAGATAGATAGATAGATAGACAGACAGACAGAGATAGATATACAGCCAGCCAACCCACCTCTGGGCTAAGGACTTCATATGGAGAATCTGACTCCATCTTTACCCCTTTTACAGGAGAGGGAGCTGAGATTTGGAGAGGATAAGAGAATTTCTCAAGCAGGATTTGAACCAGATTTTTCTAAATTCAAACACCATGCTTTTTCATCTCTTTTCTCTCCCACCTTTCCAGTTGATGTGGTGGGCACTTGGATAGTTATCAATGAATGGCTAACTTCAAAAATACCTACTTTTAATCCAGGAAGACTACCCAAAGGCAAAAAGTCCTTTCTGAGACCAGATCACTGCCCAAATCTTTCCATCGTGAAGTCTTCCTCAGGGCAGTTGAGATTTCCTGAGATTCCCAAAGAACTGCAGACTTTTTTCTCCAAATTGACAGAAACCCTCTAACGTAGGACAAGTTCACCCAAAGGACTTCCAAGCAGATTCTGTAGTGCTGAGGTTCAGTATCATTCCCTGTCTTCAGCCAAACTTCCTACAGGTCCAAGCCCAGTTGAAGGACAAGAAGAGACAACTAAGCTTGCAATCCTTGAACACATGGTGCAGAGCCACCTACCCAAGGGCAAATCCCCTCCCACCAAGTACCACCTCATGCTTCATGTCTTACACAGGAAACTAAATGTTTCCCTTCCTTCTTGTTTCAGGGACACATCACTCAGGTTTCCAAGCCCAGATTATTTTGTAGACCAATACCTCATCTATGTTATAAAAAGTGAGGAGGGCAAGGAGGAACATGTTTCCAACATTGTCACCAAGGAGGGTCCCAGAGGAAAGAAGGTGTTTAAAAAGATGCCATAAACCAATAAAAATAAAACCAGTGTCTCTTCTATCAGAAAAAAAAAAATAGATGCTGCTTCTGCTGCTGATGACGATGATGACAACTGTCCTTTATTGAGAATTTAGTATGTATTTAGTAGTTACATGCATATCTCAGTTAATTCTCACAACTCTATAAGTAGTATTTTATTACCATATTTCTTTGGCTCTAAAAGGCCATCAATTATAAGATGTGCCATTAATTTATATACTCCTAAGAACATAACAATGCTGCCAACTAAATTGTTAGACGCCATCAAATGTAAATGCACCCAATTTCAGAAATGTTAAAATGTGCCACTTACACTCAATGAAATAAGAATTCACTCTTTGAATATGGAAATACAAAGAGAGAGAAATAGAGACATGATAAGTGAGTTGCCCAAGCGTACACAGCTAGTTAGTGGCAAAGACAGAATTTGAACATGAGCATAATTCCTAAGCCTACATGTTGAACTCGTAAGCTATGAAACACCGTGATTGTTAGTGATAAAATTGTAAGACTAAAAGGGGGTTTCTCAATCATCTAGTCCCAAACAGTCACCTGAAAGACAGGAAAACTGAGGCCTAGAGGTTTCTAAATAAGATGGGCAGTTAGTGACCCTAGTTTGGGATTCTGCACATTATTCAGGAGCCTTCACCCCCAACCAGGTGACCTTACCTTTCTGCCATGAGATGATGGCCTCACCCCAGCAAATCTGGCCCGAATTTTCAGCATGACAACTAAAGACGAACAGTGTCCACAGGACAGGATCCTGGATACGCAGCTCCAAGAAAATGCCACCTCAGGACCAGCCTGGGCACCAAAACTTAAATCGCTATCCTGGCTCCAATGAGCTTTTTAACCTCTTTAAACCTCACTTTTATTTTCCTCCCCCAAAAGGTTGTTGCAAAGATTGAAACACATACTCCGAAAAGGCTATTAGCATAGTTAACATCATTATATTTATTATGTTTATTATTATTTAAAAGAAAATGCCTCAATCTAAATGTGTAGCATGGATATCTTGTTTTATTTCAGAATTAGAATATAAAAGAATACATCTCAAACTTTAAAGTTCATACAAATCCCTGAGGATCTTGTTAAGACATAGATCCTGAGTTAGCAGGTCTGGACCAGGGCCTGGAAACCTGTATTTCTAACAAGTGCCCAGGTGGTGCGGAGCTGCTGATCCAGGGATTGCAGTTTGGATGTCAGTGGAATATAGGAGGCAGTTGATTGATCTTTTTATCATTAATTTCAAAATAAAACATAGCACTATAGCTCCACACATATTTGTTAAATACCCACTAAGTTCCAGGATCCATGCCAGATAACAAGGGAGTGAGCAACAAGCAAGAGCAGTCATGGTGCCTACCCCCAGGGAGCTGACATTATAGTGGAGAGCACGGACGTAAAACACGCAGTTACATTCTTCCCGTAGTAAAGGGAAAAGCCAGGTGCTGCAGCGTCTTCACCAAGGCCAGGCTCTTTGGTGCATTGCAAGGAGGACGTCATCCTGGAGGCCAAGGGCTGGTTCCCCAAGAAGGGGCCCCTGGCC